GCGGGGGGGGTCTGACCGGGGGGGGGGGGGAATTTTACAGTGGGGCAGTGTTTTGATGGTTGCCATGAATTGCAGTATAAATCAGATTTGTTTCTAGGAAAAGGATAGATTTCACTGACAGTTTTTCAATATCCTGCTGTTAAAACAGTTTGTTGAGTCACTTGCTTTTAACTCCGTAGCCATAATTATTTTCTCAAAAAGCCCTACCAGTCTGACCGGGGGGGGGGGGGAATTTTACAGTGGGGCAGTGTTTTGATGGTTGCCATGAATTGCAGTATAAATCAGATTTGTTTCTAGGAAAAGGATAGATTTCACTGACAGTTTTTCAATATCCTGCTGTTAAAACAGTTTGTTGAGTCACTTGCTTTTAACTCCGTAGCCATAATTATTTTCTCAAAAAGCCCTACCAAAACCAAGCTGTTTCTAAAAGCTGTGTTTTCCTCAAGTTTGATGTGACAGGTGAGCTATTGCAGCAGCTGACAGCACTGTCAGAACAAGGCTCATCTATTCCTGTTATTCCATTCTTCATTGTTTGAAAACTGATAGCAATATTGCTCAATTCACTAGTTACCTGAGAAAACAAGCTTATGATGTATTTTAAATACACAAGTACTATATTTAAAGTTACCTCTTTTTGAGTATCATGTCCTTACTTCTCCCTATTCTAATAAGTCTAGAAGCTTATCTAAGACTTCGCCTCCTTCCTTGGAATCAGAATTGCAGTATTAATTGCCCTCCAATCTGTCTCCAAATGATTGTGAAGTTTCAGAACTCAAAATGTGAAATGATCTGGTTTGAGACACGCACTTTTGGAGTGAAGAACTCCTAAAATCTTTAGGTAAGAATGCTATATATTTTCAGTTTTAGAGTAGCATCAGCAAGAAGCTTTTAATAGAAAACAATCATCTTGCAACTCCAGATGCTCTGAGAAGTAATTGAGAAGCCATAGGAGATTTTGTTAAACACCTCAAGTTATTTGTGTAAGAAGTGATAACTTAGACATCACCTCTGAAAGTACCTCAGATAGGATTCTGAGGGAATTCTAGAGACTATTTTTGATAGAAAAAAAAACAGGACTATGTAGCACTTTAAAGACTAACAAGATGGTTTATTAGATGATGAGCTTTCGTGGGCCAGACCCACTTCCTCAGATCAAATAGTGGAAGAAAATTGTCACAACCATATACAGGGAGTCCCCGAGTTACGCAGCTCCAACTTACGTCGGATCCGCACTTACAAATGGGGCTCTCTCGCCCCGGAGCTCGCAGGCAGCGGGACCGCCCAGAGCGCAGCGGTCCCGCCACCTCGACCTCCGGGGCAAGAAAAGCTGCTCCGGGTGCCCCTGGTCTGCTGGGGACCGTCTCCAGCAGACCAGGGACACCCGGAGCAAAGCCGGGGAGGCGCGGCACCACGCCGCCGCTGCCGCTTTGCTCCCCGTGTTCCTAGTCTGCTGGGGGGGGGGGGGGGGGGGGGGGCGGCTGGGGGCCCCCCCCCAGCAGACCAGGCTTTTGTGTGCGGGGCCCTCCCTGGCAGCCCAGCTGTTCTGTCCCAGGCTCGAGATTCAGCTGCTGTTGAAACTGATCAGTGGCTGATTCCAGGAAGCTGGGGGCAGAGCAATGGGGACTCCAGCTTCCTGTAGTCAGCCCCTGGTCAGTTTCAGCAGCAGCGGCTGAATCTGGAGCCAGTTCCGACTTACATACAAATTCAACTTAAGAACAAACCTATAGTCCCTATCTTGTACGTAACCCAGGGACTGCCTGTATACCAAAGGATACAATTTAAAAAAAATGAACACACATCAAAAGGACAAATCAAATTTCAGAACAGAAGGGGGATGGGGGAGGGAGGTAAATGTCTGTGAGCTAATGATATTGGAGGTGATAATTGGGGAAGCTCTCTTTGTAATGGGTAAGAAAGAGTTCATTCCAAAAGTACTTACAGGTGCCTTCTTGTCAATAGGTTTTATAACAAACTTTTTGTCATTGAAAGAGATGTTTCTGATTTCACTCCAGGGGAAGCCAATCTTTGGGGTCAATCTGAAAACAAAGATGGATTTTAAAAGAAGCCAAGATACAAAAAAATAAAACAAGGATGTGAGATTGATCTTTCCACAATTTGAAACAAGGTACCATTACTTCACTTCTTTATTCGGGCGGGGGGGAAGAGAGGAGATCCTAAGCCGCATGCTAAACACAACTGAGAAAAACATTTGCTCCTTGTCATGGGAAGATGTGTCCCAAATTCAGAGGCTCTCCCTTTTCTTATGCTAAGTAACCAACCTAGTGACACTATAGCCATTAATTACAGAAGAATGTGCATGAATTTCCAGAAATGTTCAGTCCCCTCAGCTCCATTTGCAACAAATCTTGCAGAAGTCACACTCAGCACTTTGAAATGTCAGCCCACCTTTATTAGGTACTTAATTATGGATTTAGGAGCCTAAATGTAAGCACCAATGCTTGAAAATCTTGGCTAAAAAAAGGCAAATACTCTTCACTTAATTATACAGGGTCCTTTGAAAACAATTAAACACTGCCCATCATGGATACAGATTCAGAAGTTTACATCTATTTTCTGACTACAAATATACAGTGGAACACATTTTTATCTTTCTGTTCTGGAAAGTATCCCTATTCAGGACAGCACTAGCAAGTGGCTAAGTCTCACGATCATATGCTTAAAGAAAATTCTCTCAACTGGGGCCTAAATCCACAGCATGCTTATTAGACAGTTAAAGGGAAGCAGACAACTCTTTTGTATTTCTTCCTCTCCTCCAGATTATTGGTAAAACTGGAAACAAAGAGCTCTGTTTTGTTCCTGACTGAAATATGCACAAGGAACTTTGACCAACAGTTATACAGGAGATCTTTAAACTGTGAGAACTTTCATATGGTAACAGTCATATGCAGTTTGCAGTTAAAGCACAAACTGGTAGACTAAAAGTCAACTTTAAACAAACAGGAATTCTTCCCAGTTACACGAAGACCTCAGATTATTAAAACAGAACAGTTACAAGTCCATAGCTTAACTTTTCACTATTTATGCCAAGTGATCTTTGAATTTCTGAGTTTGGAAAAATAAAAAAGTCAGAGAAATTACAAAGTTGAATTGGTTTCTAGTCCATTTCATTTTAGGTTCTCATATATCTACCCAGCACTGCAATATTGTGTTCAGACATTGCTGGGGCATATGCAGTTGTTTCAAAAACAATTTTTATTAGCATTTGACAAAAAATTTGCAGTCTAAATTGAGCCAAAGTTCTCTTTTACAAGAAAGGGCCAGTGTAAAATTCTCTTTAGCAAAATAAGGTACAAAGTGAATTTCTCTATTTAGTTAAAAACAGAATAGGCAGATTCCATCTTGACAATTTAATGAAGCAAAGTGGCAGTAAAGTAATCTAACTTGCAAAATTCCATTGCTTGCTAAGAGAGGTCAGCAGATTCTTACAAATTCTATAGCACGCTGCATAGGTGTGTGAGGGCCGTACATGTGGTAATCAATCATTAAAACTGTTAATAGTTTCAATGACTGAACGGAGATAGAAACGCCTTCAGTACTTTGACAACACACATTTATAAACCTCTTTAGTGTATTATGAATACTTAATGTTTTAACTCCTCCAAGTGATTACTTCTAATAACTAGAGTTTCTTTAAGGTTTTAGGCACTATCCACAGGGAAGGGAAGGGACCCAGAGAAACAAGAACTTGCAACTTAAAGCAAAACGTGTCCAACCCTTGTATCAAATGTTGGAAGCTACCCACCATTAAACCACAAGATTATAGATACTGGGTTCAAGCCTGCTTCCTAGCACCAGCCTTTAAACCAAGACAAAAGACAAAAGTAAAACTGAATACCCATGAAAAATTTAGCATTTCCTAACCTCTATTCTGTGTGCATATTATTTAGTGTGTGTGCGCGTGCACACATGCGTATGCATGCATAATTAGCCTAGGTTTTCATTTGACAATAACTGATCTAGTCTTTTCCATTAGAGGAAATGAGAAATCTAGCACCAGTATGTATATTAATACCTATGCCACTTCAAGAATACTGTGTCTTGAACAAACTCCAGATGTAATATTATATAGTGGTAGTCTTCTCTCCCCGTTCCCCATTTTAAATATTGGGATAGAAATCAAGTTTTGGGGGACTTGTATTCACCATTAAATGTAGTTACTGACATTAAATACAGGAGTCTATACTGTAAGTAGTTCCTTTTGAGAGAAAAAAAAAAACGTTGCATGTTTATCCCAACTTCGCTCATCTTAATCCAAAAATTCTTCCAGTTCATCTAGCCCTGGTTTAAATGCACTGTTTTTCCTAGTCCTGACAATCTGCTAAAAAAAAAAGCCAATTGCCCAGTAGGAAAAGAGTTGAACACAACAACTGATTTGGCCTTACATTTATTTTGTTTCAAGTTTGTCCTACATAATTATTTTTCAGAAATCAAGGCTACATATTGCCTGGCTATGCAGCTTGAAAAACCTGTTTGTGTGACTATGGTTGCACAGCGAAACCAGTCATTCAAGAAATAAAGAAAGGTAGTTTCACTCATGTAATACCTCGTGTGACACTCCTTGTTTTCTGGGTGACGGTACACATTAACACAGCAAAAGGAAATGCATTCTTTTCTTCTGCTGCCCCAAAAGGAATTCCAACCAGTTCCCATATGCTCTATCTCAACTGTCAGTTTAGACCCAGACTTACTTTCCACTCCGTATAGTCGTTGTGTAACCCTACTATTATTTTGACTTATAATTTTATATTAGAAATTCAGAGAAATGAAGCCAAGACTAGGAGCCTTTCTGAAGCCACATCTTTTGGCATTTGATTTAGTGGGTGTAGTCCTACTAAACAGAATGCTGAAGGTGCCCTCGCTCAGTGCTGGTACTCCTCTATCTGCGAGCAGTAAGAGAAGCTGCCGGGACTGCTCCCACTGACCTCCCACTGTGAAGACAGTGCCAAGCTCGGCTTAAGGTATGTCGACTCCAGCTACGTTATTTACATAGCTCAAGTTGTATACCTTAAGTCGATCTTCCATCACTGATGGAGAGCCCTTCATTTCAAGCCTCCTCTTTAGTTTTTCAGAATCCAGCAAAGAGAGATAAACGGACCCATCTTTAATTTCTCAATCTCCTGCTTCTCTGCTTTCTTCCTCTTCCACCTCCTCCATACTCCATTATTAGGGGACTCATAACTACTGAAAGAACTGGTTGCAAGTAACTACAGACACAAAGATTTTACTCTATTATATTAATGGCAACTGTGTTTAACACTAAGCCCTGAAAAAGGCTGTTTCTGGAGTATGATGAAAATCTAGTCTAGAGACCAGGGTTTCCCAGCCTATGGGTCGGGACCCAAATATGGATCGTCAAGTCTACTATTATATTAATAGCAACTGTGTTTAACACTAAGCCCTGAAAAAGGCTGTTTCTGGAGTATGATGAAAATCTAGTCTAGAGACCAGGGTTTCCCAGCCTGTCGCCAAGTCTCCCCCCATTTTTGAATTACCTTGGGTCACCAAGTCTTCCTGAATTGTCAAAATGGGTCCCCATCTGGAAAAGGTGGGGAACCACTGCTATAGATTCTTATGCTGCAGCCACTACTATTGTGTCTAATCCCTACATTTGGACCATGTTGATATGTCCCTAAAATAATTCTTTACAGGCTGATTTTTAAAGCCATGCAGGTAAATGGAAGTTAACAGTGATTTTTAAAGCTAGCATCTTACTACCATGATTTCAATTTTCCTATGCTGGTGCATAGCCTAAGAGGAAAGGAGTCACTTTGTGAAGGAAGGAAGATAAATCAGGATTCATATAAAAGCACAAGCCTGGTCCTGCCTCTCAACACAAATTTTACCCCAGGGCTAACCAAATTCAGGTGACATTTACCAAGCAACCACTAATTTTGCTAATTGAGTTCTTTGGGCTCTAGCACCAACCCGTTGCGCTTTTGAGGGATCTCTCACACTTACTTATCATCCTTCTCATAAATATTCAGGCCCAGAGCATCTACTCCCAGCCACAAATCCGTTCCTTTCTTATTCTTGATTTCAAAGTAGTTGATCCCATACATCTCCAAATCTTGAGCAATCTTTAGATATTCCAGCATTGCATTCTCTCTGATTGTGGTGGGAAGGGAAAAAAAGATAAACATACATAAGATAACCAACTCCTTAAAAATTACAAGCCAAGCTAGTGGAAGAACCATCTGTGCAAATGGGAAAGCAAGAGTCATTTCTTCTGGGGGAGACAGTTTGCTTATTGCTTCTAGTTTGAGGTTTATTGGGATAAGTCTTCAATGTGTTTAAACTTGAACAGAAATCAAATATTTGGGGTTTGTAAACCCTAAATCATGACTTCTCAGTAAGAGATGTTTAGTAGTATTCCCCTGCCTGCACTGAGACAGATGAACAAGCAACCAACATGAGAACAATGGAAGAATCCAACACTTGGCTTTCCATTCTGCAAGCCTCACTGTATTTGGTTTTAAAGGCACTTTCAGTAAGTTTTGTAAATAAATGTTTCAGACTGTTGTATGCATTTACTGAGGTCTTCTCCATGTGGGCCAGTCTGTGTGTCATCTTAACATTTATGAACAAAGGAGTGGACAATGCTGACCTACATGTTTGTTAATTGGACTGGAAATGCATTGTGCTTGGCTGCAGTACATTTAACACTGGTTTCCAATTCTACTGGATTTTCACAGTCTCATGCTGGACTTGAAAATTACCGTAAAAATCGCAAGTATAATGCACACCTATGTATAGTGCGCACCCTAACTTTAAACTCTTAAAATCATGAAAAAACCGAACTCCTATGTATAGATAAACTGGTTTCCAATTCTACTGGATTTTCACAGTCTCATGCTGGACTTGAAAATTACCGTAAAATCGCAAGTATAATGCACACCTATGTAGCGCGCCAAGCTCATGCCTGCCAAGGGAACTCCCCCGCCCAGCTGTCTGTGTGCTGAGCTCATGCTTGCTGGGAGACCTCCCCGCCCAGCTGTCTGTGCGCCAAGCTTAAAATCATGAAAAAAAACGAACTCCTATGTATAGGGGAACATAGGAGGGAAGGAACGGGAAGGAAACCTGCCCCCCGCCCAGCTGTCTGCGTGCTGAGCTCATGCTTGCTGGGAGAGCTCCCCGCCCAGCTGTCTGTGCGCCAAGCTCGCACCTGCCGAGGGTGAGTTTAAAACTTGAAAAGATAACCCCCGATGTATAATGTGCACCCCGGCTATTACCCTAAAAAAAACCCACAGGAAAAAGAGCGTGCATTATACTTGTGATTTTACAGTAAGTGTTAGCTACTTTGAGATTCCACTTTAAAAATACTCAAAAAAATTGTGTGCTTAAGGAGATTAATAGAACAAATCAAGGTGACCTATACAGCTCCGGAGGTACTCACTTCAGCATTCCACCATGTTCAGCATGCCAGACCTCAATCCGTTCTTCCCACTGCTCCCTGGAAAGTTTGTGCTGGTCCATTACTCTGACACATGGAAGGAAGTTAGAAGCATTAGGTTCCTTGTTCTGCTGCATATAATTGTAATATTTAACTTTGCTATGCATTTATAGGTCACTTTTTCCCCCTCTCAAGATCTGCAAATAAAACTGTTTTAAGATTACTGCTATAGCCAGGGCTCGACAAATAATACAATCTACTCGCCCATGGCGAGTAGACTGTAACCCGGAAGAGCCGGGTTCGGGCGATCTGTGCATGTGCAGAACGATCTGCACATGCACAGACAACCAGACAGCGCGGCTGGCAAGCGGGGCTCGCCACAGTTCGGCAAGCCCTGGCTATAGCACGTCAGCACAAAACTGGCATCCCTCTACAGGAAGTGCAGATGTGTGCTGCTGAAATTAATGCTACTAAAAGCCTAAATGCCCCCACCTCACAGCCTAGAACAAACGCCTTTGGGAAAATGACTAGTTCATGAAGTGAAACAGATAATTGCCCATCCCTCCCCAGCAAGAACCCCAGGCTGTCACTGACGAAGGCTACAGCCTCATTTCACAATGGAATGAAGATAGAACACATGACCTCTTGTCCAAGTGGAACAGTTTATGGAAAGAAACATGATGAACACCAGTATGACAGCTGGAGGAGTGAGCTAAAAAGAGAAGCTTATTTCTGCAGATGGATGTCCAGCACAGGGAGAATAAGTCATTGGGATAATTTGATTTTAAAAATTAATGATGTACAAATAACTTCTCCAGGCGCCAGGATATTCGTAATGGCAATCTGCTGCCTCCCCACTCAAAATGTCCCTGCTAACTGTTGCTAGTGATTAGGGTTGGGGGGGAAGGGGGAAGAGCAGGGGTGTGCAAAATCCAAACTAACTGCAAGCGGTGAAAAGAGTCCTGTTTTCTGATGAAAGAGAGTATTAAGTAGTGCTCTCCAGTCATGCACATGCAGCCCGGATGGGACAGAGGATAACGAGGCTTTAACTTTTGACGTGCCATGCCTTCTCATTACCCCTCTGTTTGGGGAGTTTAAATAAGTAGAATACGCTGGAAGACTCAGGGCAGCTTTCCCCTTCTATTTTAAAGCTACTCACCGTTGAGGGATCAGGCGCTCTGAATTGAGGTACCCAGGCTTGTGTGCTTCTTTATTGTAGTCACCAAATTTGGCTTGCACTGCATACGAGCCAAGCAGAACTGCTGTTTCAGGTGGGCAGTAGATCTCATCACTGAGGATCCCTTCCTTCACCTGCAGGAAGAACAGCTTCTGGGTGATGTCCTGGATCAGCTCTTCAGACACATCTTCAGGGAAGAACTTGGCACGGAATTTGAACTGGAGGGGATTTTCCTTTTTTACTTCCTGAGCAGAGACCTAAGACAAAGCATACACACAGACCCCAAAACTGAGCAAATGGTCAATGACAAAGGAATATGTTTCTTTCAAACAAAGGAAAGGGTTGTGTGGGGAGTGTAGGGTTAGAACACTGGGCACTGGTTTTCAGGAGAGATTACTTCAGGAATTTACTATCTATATGGCCCCAACTTTGCAACAAACTCCTGTACCAGCATGGGACCCCTTTCAAATCCATGGGCGCCACCCATGAGTGTTCATTGTAGTATTTACCATACAGTTAACCCAAAGAGCAGCCTATTTAGTTACAAGAAAAATGCAACAACAATATCCTTCTAACACACCCCTTTTATTCTTCTCACTAGATAGCGGGGGCAAATGAATAGGAATAGTACTTCCAAGTAGAACATGTACCTCAGACAGATCTATACTACATGCCAGTGGGTTTGTTAGGGGAGACTAGCAGGAAAATGAAGATTTGTTTGCATTTTAAACAAGAAACAGAAGAGGATCCCAAACTATGGTCTGCAGTCGCATATGATCAGTCCATTGCTTCACAAAGTGCTAGCTCTCTTCCCTACTTGCGTTTAATCAACTAATCGACTAGTCAATGGAACTTCCGTCGACTAGTTGATAAGGGTGGAACTGCCAAGCTGCAGCGGGGTTAGCTCCCGGCCCCAGGGAGCTGCCTCTGCCTGGCAGCTCTTAATACATTTGAAAAGCAGAGGTGCAGTGCCCCGTGCCTCACTACATCCCTCCCACCCCTGCTCCCCACGCAGACAGCAAGGGCAACAGGGCGGGGGGAGTGACTCGACTATCCAATAAGCTTATACTTATCGGATAGTCAACTAGTCGCTTACATTCCTATTCCCTACTCGCAGCTGCTAAACAGCACGACCATTTTTTAATGGCCTTTATTCATCTTATGTGAAAAACTATCCAAAAAATGTTGCTGTAGTCTGCATAAGTGTCACGAACAGGAAGTGCACAGTCTGACCTAGTTGAGAACCCAGTTGCTTAGACCAGTGGTTTTCAAAGTTGGGTCACGGGCCCGTCTGGGTAAGCCACTGGTGGGTCCACAACACTTTTGTTTATTTAAGTGTCCATAACTCCAGAGCCTTGCAGCTCCTATTGGCATTGGTTCACTGTGACTACGGACACTTAAACCATTGCAGGCCCGTGCCCCAGTTTTGAAACCACTGGCTTAGACAACTTCCTGTTCCTGTGCTGGGTTTATACAGAAGCTAAGAACCAATCAGGAGCACCCCAATATCTGTCAGTCTAAGACTGGAGTTCTGTGTTAGGGCTCAGCTTCTATTCCAGCAACTTCCAAGGTGGCAGGTTGGAATTCATGAGCTCTTAAGCTCTGGTCTACAGGCTCTTAAGACAGCGATGGTCATCCAAAACTAGTAAGTGGGCTGCATGAGGGGCCCTCCTTTGTATCAGTGGGTTGCTGTGGTGGGCAACCTGTGGCCCATTGGTGTTTCACCTGTGGCACGTGCACCTTTCTCCACACCCCTTGCACCCTTGGGCACTGGCGCCCTACACTTCCACCCCTCTCCCTCTCTTCCAGAGCTTGAACAGCCACAAACAGCTGATTCGTAGCATTCAAGCTCTGGGAGGGAGGGAAGAGCAGGGATGGTGTGTGAATCCAGCATATTTGTGGCACCCCGAAAATGCTGGAGGGAGGGGGGAGGAGTAGGAAGTGCAGGGCTCCATTGCCTCAATGCGAAGGCATAGGGAAAGGGGGCTGCAGGTTGCCTATCACTGGTTTAAAGCTTGCAATCCCTAATATGGGAGCAGAGATTTTTGGCTAAGTGTACACTGGCACTTCACAACACTAACTTTCTGACTCAGTGGTGTGAACCCCCTCCAGCACAGCAAGTTACAGCGCTGTAAAGGGCCAGTGTGAACCAGGCTACCGTGCGGTTAGCTACTCTCCTCATGGAGACATGTTTACACAGAGCGCTGGGAGACCCCCCTATCCCAGAGCTTGTGCGTTGGACACACTTTCAGTTTGAAGTGCTGGCAAGGCTGTGCTTTAAACTTGTAAGTGCAGACAAAGCCTTCCACAATCAGCTGTCTACTCAAAACACACCAATATAAAAATTGATATACTGGTCAGACCAGTGATCTGACCCATTGTTTAACGGACAGCAATCAGCAGTAGATACCTCAGAGAAAGGTACAAGAAACTTCAGTTGCCAGATGTGGGCTAATCTTAATCCCCAAAATTTAGTAGTGCATTAATATTAACATCAAAATCCCCAAAGGGTACATTCCAGCACAACACTTTTTAAATCTAGAAACGAATCAACTATTGTAGTGAGCCTGGCAACTAATTCCACACTTTCATAGAAGATTAAGCACCGTAAATTAACAGGTTTCACTAAGAAATAAAAATAGCATCTATTTTGTGGAAAGCATTGATGTATGTCAAGTCTAGTCCCAGCACATGCCAATTACAAAAGTTCTATGGCATTTATACAGACTGCCAATACGCATGCACAAGGATGGGACTGAACCTCCAATTTGCCAGACCATTCTTCACAGGATTCCTTCCACCCCCAAATCAGCTGACTGTCTTAAATAAAAAATAATAAAAAGAAAAGGATGACGCATATATGGAGCTGTAAGGAATTATTAACAGCATTGACAACAATTAATATCACAGCATGCCTTTCACCAGAGTTAGTGTCAAGTCAATACTTAACCCAAAGTCTCAATTACCTTTTTATCAAGTTTCAGCCAAGTCAGGAATCCTTTGTTGTCCGTATACTGAAGACCAAAGTACCATACTTCCCGCAACCCTATTGTCTTAACCACCTGCAACAAAAATTTAAATAGTTAATATGCCTGGTACAAATGTCATTTCTACCCAACAACTGTCTCAGTTAAATCCTCCCACACCATGTATATTTAATGAATACTCTAAAGAGGACTCCCTTCTCCCTATCTACCTGGAGTTGCCAGCTTCTTCCCCTGACTCCTGAACCATTCATCTGAATCTGATCTCAGACACAGGGTTAAAAACAAGCCTAGAAAAGAGGTGGTAATGGAGCACTAGCTACATATTTCAACTCCCAAAAGGGAGAATGGAAAGGGACTGATGGAAGGCCTATCATCTGTGTTTTCATCTCAGTGGTGACTGATGGATTTTTAGTTCAGGACACTCCTCAAGCAGATTTGCTTGGTAGAAGGCATTGTATAAGATGGGATTGTTTAAGGAGCCATTGGTTGCCACTATTCTTAAGAATCAAAATGATGAAATTACAAAATCCCCTCACTTCTAAGGCTTCATTTTTGCTGCAAAAAGGGTGCATTTTTACTGTGGGAAATTAACATTCTAAAATCCTTGCAGAGACAAGACATGGGCAGTTTTTCTGGGAGGTGGCTAGGTGAAGTCAGTTCTATACCTCTGCCTGTGGTTGACCTCACTAAACGCTACAAGTACCTCATCTTCACTAGGATTTTAGAGCTTGTTTACACATAGGCGAGTTACTCAGGAACGCCACATGTGGACACTTATTGGAAATAAGAACACTTGGCTCCAGTGGGTTAAGTTAAACAGCAGCAAGAACAAGGTATTTTTATTCCAGGTAAATGTCCACACACGGAGTTACTCAGGAAAAAACCCATGTGAAGACAAACCGTTACAATGGAATAGAGAACAGATGATGCACACTTCTGGCAGCAATGAAAGCTTCAATGTAAATACAGATACAGTACTTAGCACCAAATAGAAGCACTTCTAGGTACTTTTATTACAGAAGTACAATGCAGTTGTGCTAGATAGTTTTCAGCTATCAGGTAGTCCCTGCCCTAATGATTTTACAGTCTAAAGCAGGGGTGGGGAACTTAAGGCCTAAGAGCTGGATGCAGCCCCCAGCTTGCCTGATTCTGGTTCCCAAGGCTCAGGGTCTTCCCCTCCATCATTGGGGAGCCTGCGCTGTTGCTTCAATCCCCCCCACTTCTCACTCGTGGGTAAATTTAGGACTATACTGTAACTGTTCCTTCTTAAGCTCAGGTCATCTGTCATCTGCAGATCTGCTGTTGGAGGGGAGGGGGGCTTTGATCAAAGTAGTGACACCACAAATCCGAGGAACAGATTTGAGATTTAGGCTGGGATAGAGTTATTTTCCTTCCCTCGTTCATGGTACTTGTGACAGCACAGAGGCCAAGATACTTTCAGCTCTCACTTCTCAGGAGCGCAGGAAGGTAGTTTCATTAATGCGCCACTAACTGCATTTTTATAAAAAGTTAAACTCAGGCAAGCAGCTTTTTCAGAGTTCAAAAACCTCCTCCACTCCGTGCACTCACCTGACCTTCACCCCACTGTTGCTCTCCTTGAATTTAGTATCCAATAAGCCAGAAGTTGGCAGTTAGCATGTGAAAGTTTATTTTTTAAAAACCCAGCAACTACACCGATTACCACTCTGGGGTTACAATTTCAGTGGCCATGGTTGATTAGTGATAGACAATCTGCAAGTTACAGCAATGCACATGACTCAAGGGAAACAATTGGAATTCAATGGAGAGTTTACATAGAGAAAATATAAAGCTAGATGTCCTACTTAAGAACATAAAGGTCATTTCACACCGCCTGGGGGAGGGGGCCTATTTCTCACTTGTCTGAAGCATGCCATTAGAAAAAAAAAGAGGAAGGAATATGCTCTTGCTTGCAAATCAGAAGTGAGTTATAGGATTCTTGTGCCCTCCTGGCTCATAAGTTAAATGCTAATTTTACTAAAAATAGACTTTGTCAAAATAAATCTTATGTCGTCATTAGCAGAAGACTACAATATTACTGGGTTGTTGGTTTTTTTTTTTTTGAAGGTGGTGTGCGTGTTCCTCTGACCACATCTCAGCTAGCAACCGTGCATGATTAAAAATCCCTCCTCCTTCCCAGCTTCAGAACTGGTTTGTTGTATTAAAGAGCCTGAGAGCTGCCTGAGCTCTAGATGTGTTTGAAAGAGAGAGGAATAAACTTTACTCAGAACTCTGGTAGGGAGAAAATGGCAAGAACCACCCCCAACACTCAAAATCCATTCTGCTGCACAAAGCATGGTTTTATTCCAAGTGTCAAGACTTAAGACTTTTATTGACATTCCCACCTGTTGCAGCACTCTGGTTATTGCCAGAAATTCTCATGTGTCATTAAAAAAGAGTTTTCCAGCCGTCATGGCTTCAGAGAAGCTTATCAAAAAAGAGCCTTTAAGTCTCCAAAGTTTTTAAAATGTCTCCAGATTTTAAAGTGTATTTAGGTGCCTCACTGCTATTTCAATTGAATTAGGCGCTTACAGTTGAAAGTGCAATGCCAGCCCCCCTAAAGACTAAGAAGCCTAATTTTTTTTCATCTCATGATGTTTGAGATGACAATACTGAAAACCTGTGTCAAGCCACAAAATCCAGTAACTGGCTACATGCATTCGCTTACCACAGCAACCTTTAGACACAACTAAAAAAATGCTTCCCATGATCAAGATGGCAAGGGTACCAAAGCAGCAAATTCTAAAGTTTCATACCCATTCCAGTTTGGAAAAGATGCTGAACAATTCTCTGAAAGCTAAGTAACAGCAGCATGCTAATTGAAAGGGAAAAGATGGAAAAAAAAAACCCAAGACCACACATTAATAGCTATTTTTATTGCCTACAACAGTCATACAGCAGGGCCTAAATCCTACTGTTCCTAGTTGAGTGGTCTCTTAGGAAAAACCAGGACAGGCAACAGAAGTACTGTACTCCTTGAATTAGGCAATCTGGCTCATTTTTGCAACAAAGGAGGACTTAGCTTCGTCCTTAGTACAACTGAAATCATGTTTAACAGATCTACATTCAAATCTACTCTCCAGCAAGGTTACAAATCATTTAAAACGTTTTTTAGTTCAAGGGTCACTTGGCTCTTCAGATCAAAGCATTTCTACTACTAATTAAAAAAAAGTCAGAACACTTCTTAAACTAAATAGTGTATGCTATCAGCTAATTTGTAGGGCCAACATAGCCAATAGATGGACCTCTGCCAAATCTGGGCCATCACATGCCTTTGAAACAAGCCAGAAACGGTAGTTACATTTAAAAATTATTATTTTCTTTAAAGTCTGAACCCTTGGAAATCTGCATCCTGACAAAAATAATTGAATAAAATTGACTACCCCTGTGACTTAGTTCAGCGTGACAAGCTATTACAAACTGTCTACTTCACAGATGGTGCTCGCTTACCTCTGTGAATTTCTAAATGTTAACTCTAGGCACCATGCTCGAGATGGGATTTGTATCAATCACAAGAATGTGAAAATACTCTCATTCACATGCCATGACGGTCTGTGATTTTAACAAGTCATACAGAATTAACATGCGTTCACACTTGCTTAAAAATTACATGATGCAGAATTTAAAAAGTAAGCAGATGGAAGGTTGCATTATAACTTAATACTTTCCTGATTGTGTCTGCATTAAAGATATTGATTAAACGGGACATCATCATTGACAGGGATGGGACTGAGTTTTGGTTAACAGATATTTGATCAATGTGACTATACAAAGAGAAAGATACAAACTGTACTAAGGATCTTAAGTTTTCATCACAAAAATTGTTAACCCAAACTGGACTCAGGAAGACAAACACCTAATCTGAGCTGCTAGTTTCATTATCTACATAGGAAAGCTAATTAGAACAATGGAATAATTGTTTTGCTAGAGCTTCGTCTATCAATTTCCCTATATAGATAAGCCCTTAGTATTACTGCCAGCCGAAAACCAACTGATGTTTAAAAGCCTGAAAGATAGGCTACTAGGTTAATGATTAGATCAACTGAACCGAATACTTGAAGTTATACTTCCACTGTTCTACATCTACAATGGTAGGGATTTTTTCCTTGCAATTTGAAATCTGTAAGTTTAATATCAAACTCCTACTTAGAATGTTTAACAAAAGGAAACAGGTCTACATGCATTTCTCTCCTAGAACAGGATGTATTTATATACACATACAGAAAGAACTTTGAAGAATAGCATACATTGTCTCTCCTTTTGGCAGAAGGCTACTTAAAGTCCCATTTTGCTCCAGATAGCAATTCTAAAGATGGGAGAGGGTCAATTCTCTGTGGATTTCTAGATAAAGTGTCAAGACACCTTGTGACTGCCAGCCCTGAAAACTCCAGCCATGGTATCATAGTAAAACTGATTCCTTTTATACTTCCACATCAGCAGCAGCAGCAAGGGCTCTGCGGCCCAAGTTAGATATGTTCAATAAAGTGGTGGCTTTTGCCAGACTAGAAGTGCTCTTTAATCAAAGTACTCCCCCACACAATAATTCACTGCCAGTCCACAGCTTGTGACATTAAATTGGAGATAAGTTGGTACATTGGTAATGAAAACTGGGTTCAGTGTCACTTTTCCTTTTAATGAATTTTTTTAAGGTCTCCTACTACTGTGCAAATACCCACACAAATAAACTGACTGACTGAGCAGTGTTCTGAAACGTCATGCTTCAGGATTTAGGCCAATCTTATTATGAGGGGTTAGGACAAGTAGCGAGTAGATTAGCACACATCTGCCTATTGTGGCATTTCTTGTCCCTTCCTCTAAGGCAGTGTTTCTCAACCAATGGTATGAGTACCCTTAAGGGTACTCGAGAGAAGTCTGGGGGATACGTCAACACAACTGAATATTGGAGAAAATATAATTTGTTTTAAGTTTTACAGTGCTTCATTATTTTTGTATTTTTTACATCCAAAAATTTAATCGCCCACCTGGCTACAATTAAGTTGTTTAAACAAATTTGTGTGTGTCTGAAAACTGTAGGTATCGGGGGTACCTTTTTTTTTTTTAAGGGGTACTTTACAAAAATAAGATTGAGAAACACTGCTCTAAGGCATTTGTTGCTGGACCCTGCTGGAGCTAGGATACTGAATGAGATGGAACCCTGGGTCTGGCAGAAGTCTTATGTTCCTAGTCAGTTTCACTGTTTTTACATACCGAAAGCAAAGTGAACAAAATGAAAGAGCAGGAAAATAAATCTCTCAAATCTCACATGTTACTTACAGTGGCAACAAGTAAATCCACCACACACACAGTCTGAAGTTTTAAAATTAATGTTATCCCCTTCACAGAAATGTATTATAAACTTTAAAAATAAATACAACTTTCCTTTTTTCTAAAGTCATATAGAAAGCCTGCTTCTAATGATTTCCTTGTTACAACTGCACCTTTACCTGTTGGGGAGTCTTTGGGAGCCAACTTCTGCATGCACTATGGACAAGACATTGGTAGAATATAGCTTTATTCTGAATAGCAGCTATTGTCCCCAAGCAGAGCCTCACAGCAATCCGAAACAATTCAGGTGTGGGAGTTGTTAAAAACAAGATCAGTTTAAGGTTCAATCCCTATCCCTTTAGGCCGGCATAAGAACCTGACACATTCTCAGCGCAGCTTTTCAGACATAGCTTGAGTATTGCAATTCACCAGCAGCCCTGGGCGCTAACTAGTTTCAAATGGGAAACTGATCCAACTCTTATTCTTTTTAATTGTTTGGTGAGAGGTAGGAAGAGTTGCTAGAACAGAATACCATGATTGGATAAATGAGAATTTAAAAGAAAGAATGTCCGCTTTGCATTATGTCAACATACATTCTCCATAGACACCCGGGGTAATTACTGAGAAGTCCACGTAAGGCTGTTATGTTAAGCAAATGCTTACTGGCTAGTCGACCAGTTGCTTCCCCACTCCTTGTTGCCTCCGACTAGTCAATAGGTTCCGCGTTCCACCTTTGAAATGTACAAGTGCCCCAGCAGGGGCTCTTGTGTATTTCAAAATTGGAATACCACGTGGAGCACAGGGCCAGCGGGAAGTCCCACAACTCCGAGCTCCACGCAGGTACTTCCACTCTGAAATACACAAGAGCCCCCGCTGGGGACTCTTGTACATTTCAAAGGTGGAACGCTGCATGGAACCCTGGGTCAGCTGGGGAGTCCCCAGCTGATCCTGGGCTCCAAATGGCAGCGCTGCTTTGAAATGCTGCGAGGACCCCAACTGCATTTCAAAGCAGCTTGGAGCCTGGGATCAACGGCATTTCAAAGCAGCTTGGAGCCTGGGATCAGCTAGGGACTTTCCAGCTGACCCTGGGCTACACGCAGTGCTGCCACTTGGAAACGCTGTGACGGCATTTCAAAGCAGCAGTGCTGCACTGACTCTGGATTACCAGGCTCCATGTGGCACTGCCACTTTGAAGTATCTTCCACTTCCCCCCGCACCCGATAAAAGCAGCAAGGGGGGGTGGGGAGGCGGAGTGACTAGTCGACTATCCTGTCGATTATCCAATAAGAACTTGCTTATCAGAGAGTCAACTAGTCCTTGACATCCTTACAAACACCACCTCGATTGTATTTCAAGATGGTAAACCCACAGAAATAAGAGTTAGATATTTGAAGAAGCATCTACACCACCTCAATTGTATTTCAAGATGGTAAACCCACAGAAATAAGAGTTAGATATTTGAAGAAGCATCTTAAAACAATCAGTTCTGCCTGAAATTTGACTTTGTTCTTATCTCAGGTAACACTAAATACTGAGAATAAGATTTTTCAATAGTGCCTAAATCATTTTTTCAAAGTGAGACTTTGAAAGTTATACACTGAAAGAGTCAAGTAAATACATTCTCCCTCTTCCTGCTTTACCCATCCTCTATTTTCTGGGTAGCAAATCAAGCCAGATCTACAGACTAGGTCACACAAATGTTTCAATTAAAAGTTGTTTTATTTGAAATTAGGCAAACAATCTATAGATTTCAAATCTAGCCCAGGGCTTTAGTGACTAAATAAAAATTAAAATGGCATCATCCTTGCAATAAAATGTGGTATTTCAAGTTAACGTTCAAGTACAGTGGTGATTACAAGTCAGACCAAAACAAAAGCCACTCAGACTATCTTTTCTTGAAAAAAGCGATCTGAAGTCTTATCTGAAATTTCAAAAGTGTGTTGACAAAATTTGTACAAAGGATGCACGCTATTCAGCCAGTTCTGCCTACATGAGCTGAAGGACAGTTTATACAGCCTTTTGTTATTAGGAGTAGTGGAGGAGCAAAGAAAAATTATTTGACCCACCCATCTCATTCATCATTTTGTTAGAGACATCAGCTAAATTTGTCATTTTTGTGTACACTTTTACTCTGTCTTTCCAGGTAATATCAATGCTCTGTTGGCATACAGAAGTCTTTATGATTACAGACAAGTTCTCCTTCAAGCCAGAGCTGTGAATTCATCTCTCATTCATTTTATTTATATGTACAGCTAATTTTATGAACAAGGTTTATTTTTTTTTTTTTTTAAACAAACAAGCCTATGATAAACTAGGCCACTCTTGGCCTATTTCTGTTCTACCTGATCAATGAAGACTTAAGTATGCATTACATGCAGAAAAGTTAGAAGAAAGTATAAAGAAAGATTTACTAAATACCACTTGCCTGCCTCAATCTACTCTTCCTTGTTCTGAGCCATAACAGCCCTACCTCTCATTAGTGATGTCAGAGATGAGCTCATGCGGTTTCTTTTAAGTATATCCTCAGGCTGCCTCTATTCTTTAGTGCCTACAAGAACCAGGTGCCTTGAAGAACCCCCTGACACCAATGGCCAGGCTCTTTGCTTTGTCCTAATACACAGGGTAGATGTGCTCTGTATAAAGCTGTTACTTAATACACAAAATGCCTGACTTCTTGGGTCCAGCTACTCTGCAGTCAGTGTATAACACCTGCTCCTCAGTTTAAAATCATAAGTGTCATGATTTCAGCTATTTAAATCTGAAATTTCACAATGTTGTAATTGTAGGGATCCTGACCTAAGAAGGAATTGTGTGGGTGATTGGGGAAATGGGGGGAAAAGAAGAGGGCACAAGGTTATTGTAGGGAATTGCAACTGTTAGTCCTGGTCTGCTGCTGGCCGCAGTGCTGCTTTCAGAACTGGGCAGCTGGAGAGAGGCTGCTGCAGGCCAGGAGCCCAGCATTGAAGGAAGAGCCATTGCCAGCAGCAGTGCAGAAGGAAGGATGGAATGGTATAGTATTGCCACCCTTCTCTGCTGCTGCCGCCTATAGAGCTGGGCCCTCAGTCAGCAGCCACCGCTCTCTGGCAGTAAGGGTGACAGTACTGCGATCCCCCTAAAATAACTCCCTTTTGGGTCAGCTCCCCATTATAGAAACATTATCTCCTCTGTGAAGTCTGTATTGTATAGGGCAAAAGCAGACAAAATACCAGGTTTCATGGTCTGTGATGTGTTTTTCATGGCTGTGAATTTGGCAGAACCCTATTTATTATGTTGGTGTGGTAAGACGCCCATTGTCAGGAGCAAGGCTGTAAAGTGTACACAGACATAATTAAGTTGACATAAGCTGCATTATGTCAACCTGTGAAGGCTCATTCTACAGCATTTTCTACTGGTATAGGAGGACTAAAGTCAGGCAAGACATTACCCAGATGATAGAGTTTTAAATAGCTCACTCTTCAGAGGACAGCTCATCAGCAGTGGAAAAAGCTAGCAAGGGAGCAGAGTGTAACCTTTCCATCATGCTTGACTGTACCTCGGTCACCCAGAGAATGAAACTCAAAGTGAAAGATTCATAATAGTTTGGAAATGAGATTCACAGCCACTCATGCCCTTTGAAATACACGTGATTAAAGTCATTTTTACTGGCCCTTCATTCCAGGTTGTTGTTGTCTCCTCCCGCTTGTAATCCTATAACCATGACAGATGCCCAATATTTAAAGTCTCAGAGTGAAATAAATCATTCCTAGGGGAGACTGAGTAATTTCATAAGATCATGCACTTTGTGATGCTGCAGAGGCTCAGGATGGAGTGATCATGTTCACAATTTGTGTTTATTATTGTGTTCATCATATTGAGAGGACAACTCATGAGTCTCTCTGCTTGAGAGAATAAGGCAACTATCAAGAGTTGTAAAGGCTGAGTGAATGCACTAGTCAATCTGACAGACATGCAACTGTTTAATTAACAATAAAAAGTGGCCACTTAAATTTTTTTTTAAAAAGGATCTGTGTTTACTTATTGTGGCCAAGTCCAAAGGCTACAGTCAGGCTTCAGAAACCCCATTGTCATCAGCTGTGTACAAAGTTAGAAGAGACCTGGTTCCTAATCTGAAGAAAAGTTTACAATTCAAAATGGTTTCACACACTTGCACAACTGACCTGGTCAAATAGCTGTTTGCCTGTGGTGTTGGGCTGGATGGCAAACTCCAGCTCTGCATCCATAGTGGTAACTCGAACATTGAGCTAAAGAGAAAATAAAAGTGATTTTAAAATACTGAAAAACCATATAATCGGAGTGAAGAATACGCACATCCTCTATGTAGAATACTTGCTCTATGCTTTTTAAGCATTATTATTGTAAAGAAGTTCTTGAGGGCCTTGTAAGGCCTCCCCAGATCACTGGCACTGAGCACTAACAATGGCTCCAATCTCGGTTTTAAAAGACTATTTACATTTTAACGTAATCTTCCCTTACAATTTTGTATAATCACATAGATGAAGTTAATTAAGGGCACTGACTTCACAGGCTTATCCAGATTGCTCTACAGGTTTGGCTACTCAGCCTGGAATTGGATTGGACTTCTGGTTAAATGAGAAAACATTTTAGTGTTGATTGTTTCGGAGCACAGCACATGGTAAGCCAGGACTGCCCACTGTCTTTAAGACACCTTTTAATCCTAAAAGGATGTCAATGACTTAATTATATTTAGGAGTTTTAAATTATAAATTCAGTTCCCCTATAGGTTTGTCACTGGATTTAACATGAGGTTTTAACTCTAAGGCAGTTGAAACTTCCAAGCCAATCCAGCATTAAACTATCAATTATTAAGTTTAACAGATCTACTGAGCACATAAAAAGGTGTTAAGCTAGGTTTAACGCCACGCTGGAACAAGTATTTTAAGAGAAATCACTTTGAAACAAACAATCAGATATTGTAAAGGCACAAAGATCAAGTGTATAAAACAAAAAGGTTACTACAGGCAGTCCCCGGGTTACGTACAAGATAGGGACTGTAGGTTTGTTCTTAAGTTGAATTTGTATGTAAGTCGGAACTGGCGTCCAGATTCAGCCGCTGCTGAAACTGACCAGTGGCTAACTACAGGAAGCCCGAGGCAGAGTTGCTCTGCCCTGGGCTTCCTGGAATCATTGCTGATCAGTTTCAACAGCGGCTGAATTTGGACGCCTGGGACAGAGCAGCTGTGGCGCTGCCGGGTAGGTCCCCACAGCGCCGCACCTCAGAGCTGCGAGGACCAACCCGGCAGCACCCCACCTGCTCTACCCCAGGTGTCCCCAAATCAGCCGCTGCTGAAACTGATCAAGCAGCTCTGCCTCGGGCTTCCTGGAGTCAGCCTCTGATCAGTTTCAGCAGCGGCTGAATCGGGGACAGCTGGGGTGCCTGCCGGGTTAGTCCCGCAGCAGCCCGGAGGGGCAGCGCTACAGGACCAACCCGGCAGCGACCCAGCTGCTCCGCCCCGGC